CAGAGCATTTTTCACTCCTAAAGAAGAGGGAGATCCAGATATGAGCTGCCAGATGGGTGAAACTTAAAGACATGATGCTAAATGAAAGAAATTGGGCTCAAAAGAGCAAATATGGTATGAGTCTACTTATATGAAGTAGTCAAATCCATAGAAGGAGAAAGTAGAATGGTAGTTGCCACAGGTTGGGAGTAAGGGGAAATGGGGGGGGTGTGTGTTAATAGTTAATGGTTCAGAGTTTCAGTTTTGTAAGTGAAAAAAAAAACAACAACACTTTTTGAAAAAGTTCTGGAGGTGCCTGGGTTGCTCAGTTGGTTAAGCATCTGACTTTAGCTCAGGTCATGATCTCAGAGTCCTGGGATCGAATCCCACATTGGGGGTGTCCCCACTCAGTGGGGAGTCTGCTTGTCCCTCTCCCTCTGCCCATCCCCCCATTCATGCTCTTTCTCTCTCAAGTAAATAAATAAATTCTCTTAAAAAGTTCTGGAGGAAGATGGTGATGATGTTTCTACAACCATGCGAACACACTTAATGCTGCTACAAAACTGTACACTTAAAATGGTTAAAATGGTCATTTTTATGTTATGTATATTTTACTACAATAAAAAACTAAAAAGTTGGTTATTTGAAATGCTCAACAAAAATTAAGAAAGCTATAGCTAGACAGATTAAGAAAAACAAGCGGGAAGACTAAAATTTCTAAAATTAGAAATGAAAGTGCATGTGTTACTACTTGTTTCACAGGAATAAAGGATTATAAGAGAATACTAAGAAATGTTGCACCTCAACAAATTATGTTACCTACCTGGAACTGACAGATTCCTAGAAACGTACAAACTATCAAACTTGACTCAAGAAGAAACATAAAATCTGAATAGGTCTATAACAAGTAAGGATATTAAATCAACAATCAAAACACTTTCAATGGAGAAAAGCCTAGGACCAGATGGCTTCAGTGGAAGATTCAACTAAACATTTAAAGAATAACACCAGTCCTCAAATTCTTTTAAAATATAGACAAGGAGAGGGCGCCTGGGTGGCTCAGTGGGTTGGGCCGCTGCCTTCGGCTGGGGTCATGATCTCAGGATCCTGGGATTGAGTCCTGCATCGGGCTCTCTGCTCGGCAGGGAGCTTGCTCCCCTCTCTCTCTCTCTGCCTGCCTCTCTGCCTACTTGTGATCTCTCTCTGTCAAACAAATAAATAAAATCTTTAAAATATATATATATATATATATATATATAGAGAGAGAGAGAGAGAGAGAGAGAGAGAGAGACAAGGCGAAAATAGCTCCTGACTCATTCTGTGATGCCAGTATTACCCAAATAAAGAAGCCAGACAAAGACCTCACAAGAAAGGAAAACTACAGGCCAATATTCCTTTTGAATATAGATGCAAAAATCCTCAACAAAATATTAGCAAAGAAAATACAGCAGCATATTATAAGGATTATACACCGTGAACAAGTGGGATTGGTCCCAGGAATGCAAAGGTGGTGCAACATACAAAAATCAGACAGTGGGGGTGCCTGGGTGGCTCAGTGGCTTAAAGCCTCTGCCTTTGGCTCAGGTCATGGTCCCAGGGTCCCGGAATCGAGCCCCACATCAGGCTCTCTGCTCAGTGGGGAGCCTGCTTCCTCCTCTCTGTCTCTGCCTGTCTCTCTGCCTACTTGTGATCTCTGTCCATAAATATATATAGAAGGAAGAAATTTCAGTTGTTGTGGAAAAAACATTTGACAAAATTCAACACCCTTTTATGTTTAAAAAAAAAATTCAACAAACTAGGAATGAAATCTTCCAGAGATAAGTGCCCTGTCATTTCTCAGAAAGTCACCCCAGGGTTCAACCACCATTGCTAATGTGAAAATATTAGGTCAAACCAAAACTTTGAATGTTGCATCTTGAGTCCATTTTCTTTCTTCAAACAACAGATTTTTTAAAAAGTCCATTTTTCTAGAGACAGAGAATGAGTTTGGGTGGCTAGCACATTTTTTGGAAGTTTTTATTTAAATTCCAGTCAGTTAACATACAGTGTAATTAGTTTCAGGTATACAGTACAGTGATTCAACACTTCCATGTAATACCCAGTGCTCATCACAAGTTCACTCCTTGATCTCCATCACCTATTTAACCACTCTCTCTACCTAACTCCATTCTGGTAACCATTAGTTTGTTCTCTATAGCTGTCAGTTAAGGTAGCTGTCAGTTAAGCATCTGTTCTTAGTTTGTCTCTTTCTCTCTCTCTCCCTCTTTTTCCCCTTTGCTCATTTGTTTTGTTTCTTAAATTCCACATAAGTGAAATCATATGGTATTTGTCTTTTCCTGGTTGACCTATTCTGCTTAGCATAGTACCTTCTAGTTCTATCCATGTTATTGCAAATGGCAAGATTTCACTCTTTTTTAATGACTAAGTAATATTCCAGGGTATTTATCACATATTCTTTATCCACTCATCAGTTGATGGACACTTGGGCAGTTTCCATAATTTAGCTATTGTAGATAATGCTGCTATAAACTGGGTGGCTAGCACATTAAAGTTTACAATTATTTTGTTAATTCTTTATTACTAATAAAATTATACATTCATTCAAGATGGCAGACTAAGCACATATTCAGCTTTCTTCTGCTATCCAAATTCCAAGAAATGATTTTTTTTTAAAGCTGTAATATCCCTGGAAAACAAAGTAGAAATGGTATTGATGGATCATAAATTAATAGTTCCTAAAAATCTAAAGGCAGACATGGCTAGATTGAATAAGGAACAAGCAAAAATGGCTGCTGTAAAAAAAGGGAATAGTGTTATATCCCTATATAGGGTGTATCCCAGAAATAAAAGATGTAATAACACTATTCTCATTAAAAATATAAAAAAAGAGTAAAGAATAAGACAAGATGGCTGCATATCCCTGCTGCTAAAAAAAAAGAAAAGATGTAAGAATAGGAATGAATTGAAATAGATGATCTGCCTAGAAAACCCAAAAATATCAATGGGCTAAGTATTAAAACCAAGAAAACACTTTAATATATGATCAAGTACAATAACATCATATAAAAACTATAGCTCTTTTCACCATCAGCAGCCAGTCAGAATTATCCCATTTGGTATATTTTTACTTTTTCAATTAAAAAAATGTACAGTTTTGAAACTGTTTGGGGTGCCTGGGTAGCTGTCAGTTAAGCATCTGACTCTTGATTTCTGCTCAGGTCATGATCTCAGGGTCGTGAGTTCAAGCCCTGCTTTGGGCTCTGTGCTGGGTGTGGAGCCTGCTTAAGATCCTCTCTCTTCTTCTCCTTTTGCCCCCCCCCCCCCAACACTTTCCCTCAAAGAAAGAAAGAAGCAAACAAACAAACTCTTTGTGAACCTTTTCCCCACTTCATTCAACTCTGTCCACCTCAGGGTAACCATTACCTTACATTTGAAGTTTTCATTCCCATACATCCTTTTTGTATTTTGCTATATATGTGTGTGTCCCCTTAAAAATATATTATTGAGGGGCACCTGGGTGGCTCAGTTGCTTAAGCAACTGCCTTCAGTTCAGGTCATGATCCTAGAGTCCTAGGATCAAGTCCCACACTGGGCTCTCTGCTTAGCAGGGAGTTTGCTTCTCCCTCTGACCTTTCCCCATCTCATGCTCTCTATTCTCTCTCTCAAATAAATAAAAAATCTTTATATATATATATATACATATATGTATATATATATATATACACACATACACACACACACACACATATAAAATTGAAAATCTTTCAAAATATTAAGTATATTATTTTGCACGTTGAAAAATTGTATGCAAATGGTCTTAGATTATATATGTCATTCTGCAAGTTACTTTCACTCATATATCTCTAGACGCATCCATGTTGGTGTCTACATATGTTTATGGCATTCTTATCACCTGAAATCAGTATGAATGTATATTTTTTAAAATACATTTTTTCTTTCATTTCCAGAAATATGGACACTAAAAACTGCACCTTAAACAATATATGGGTTAATGCAATGGACTGGTTGTGCGCTCACCACCGAAATTCATAGGTTGAAATTTAGCCCTATACCATGTGATGGTATAAGGAGGTAGAGGGCCTTCAGGACATAATTAGGGTGGAGCTCTCATGAATAAGATTAGTGCCTTTATGCAAGGGACTCCAGAGATCTCTGACTCCCTCTTTCTGTCATGTGAGGATACAAGAAGACAATGAGGGTCTCTGACCTGAAAGAGTGCCTTCTCTAGAACAATATTGGCACCCTGGTCTTGGACAACCAGCTTCCAGAACTGTGAGAAATAAGTTTCTGTTCTTTATAATCCACCCAGTCTATGAAACTTATTATAGCAGCTCAGATTGGCTAAGACAGTTAAAGACAAACGTTACAATGAAAGTACAAAGTAGTTTGGAAAAAAATGAAAATAACCTCAAAGTCCACCAAGAGGAAGAAAGTTAAATAAATTATGCTATATCCATGGTATGGAAAATGAGTTTACGTATTTAAAATAATTTCATAAGTCTATATAAACTGACATGGAAAATTTCTAGGATATAAAAGAAAATATAAAACAATATGATCCTCTTCATGTTAAAATTTTTAATTGTGTATTTTTAATAACATATATGTAAATGTATTTTAGAAAAACAGAAAATTGGTTAACATTGAGTACCTTTGAGTAAGTGAATGGGTTTGAGGGAGATAAAGGGAAGTTTTTCCTTTTACTGTCTATTTTTAGAATTTTTAAATTGAGAATATATTCTTGTATTTTTTTAAGAAGATGAATTGAGGATTCGTAGACAAATGCTAGACAAAAAAAGCAGTCTATAAGAATGGACAAAGCACTAATTCCCAGAGCATAAAATCCAGTAAGAGCTGACTGTATTATAAGCATTTTAAATGTTTCTAATTGTCATTCTTATGGCCTATAACTGCAGCTTCTATTTCATTTATATTTTTCTTTATATTTGTTCAGTTAAAAACAGGGAAGCAAGACAAAGAGTTGTAATAAACATACTCACTGACAGATCTCAAGGTTTTCAGTCGGAGAACACAACCACGAAAATTCAAACGCAGCACATTTAGACGCCACCTTTGCAAAGTTGACACTATATATTTATCTGTGATTATATTTTTTACTGCAGAAAAATCAATCTAAAAAGGGTAAACCAAAGACATTAAGAAATGAGAAAGATCTTTTGCATGCAAAAAATTTTAATATTTTAAAAGCATCAAGAAACAAATGTCTTCAGCACATCTCTCACTTCTTCATTTCTTTGTTTTTATGGTCATTTGGGAGTTTAATTACCAACAGATTTTTTTGTTGTTGTTCATGGTCATTCCCAGGTTTAATTACAAACAGATTCCAAATGTCTAATCTAGGTCAACAGCTGGGAGGGCAAGAGCCCCCCACTTCAGGGTCAATGAACCCATAATGGGTGCCTCCTTCTCTATTCATGAGCATAGACAATGTGTTAAGTTCTTGACTATGGGGAAGACAGTTTAGAGTGAGAGGTTTAGAGTGGCCTTCTCCTACCTCATAATTTGAGGAGGGAGGTCTGGGGGAAAGGAGAGATGACCTGAGTGTACCTGGCTGATTGCATGTAATATTGAAGAGCACAGAGATTTCTGGGAGCTCCTAGTGGCTGGGGCCAGTTGACAAACAATAGCATTGATATTGTAGTATTAATCATGTCTTTCAGACATTAATCATGTCTTTCAGCTAAGAGATTACATTGAGGCACAAAGAACTCCCCTCAAAATCAATAAAAATAAGTCAATACCCCAACATCTAGTAGAAAAATTTACAAATCTCAGAAACAAAGAGAAAATCCTGAAAGCAGCTCAGGACAAGAGGTCTGTAACCTACAATGGTAGAAGTATTAGATTGGTAGCAGGCCTATCCACAAAGACCTGGCAGGCCAGAAAGGACTGGCATGATATATTCAGGGTACTAAATGAGAAGAATATGCAGCCTAGCCAGCTAGGCTGTCATTGAAAATAGAATAAGAGATAAAAAGCTTCCAGGACAAACAGAAAATAAAAGAATTTGCAATTACCAAACCAGCCCTACAAAAAATATTGAAAGGTGTCCTCTAAGCAAAGAGAGAACCTAATAGTAACATAGACCAGAAAGGAACACAGGCAATATACAGTAACAGTCACCCTAAGGCAATTCAATAGCACTAAATTCGTATCTTTCTATAGTTACCCTGAATGTAAGTGGACTAAATCCCTCAATCAAAAGGGTATCAGATTGGATTAAAAAAAAAAAAAAACCAACAATATGCTGTCTCCAGGAGACTCATTTTAGACCCAAAGATGCTCCCAGATTTAAATGAGGGGGTGGAAAACCATTTACCATGCTAATGGACATTAAAAAAAAAAAAAAAAAAAAGCTGGGATGGCACTCCTTATATCAGACAAATTAGATTTTAAACCAAAAACTATAACATCTATATATAATATAACTGTATATAATATAAGAAAGGACTAGCTATATCATACTTAAAGGGTCTATCCAACAAGAAGATCTAACAATTGTAAATATTTATGCCTGTAACATAGCAGTCAATTATATAAGCCAATTAATAACAAAATCAAAAAAACACATTGACAATAATACAATAATAGGGGCGCCTGGGTGGCTCAGTGGGTTAAAGCCTCTGCCTTCAGCTCAGGTCATGATCCCAGGATCCTGGGATCGAGTCCCGCATTGGGCTCTCTGCTCAGTGGAGAGCCTGCTTCCTCCTCTCTCTCTGCCTGCTTCTCTGCCTACTTGTGATCTCTGTCTGTCAAATAAATAAATAAAATCTTTTAAAAAAAGAAAATCTACCAACAAACAAGACCCCAGGACCAGGGGAGTTCTACCAAAGATTTGAAGAAGAATTAATACCTATTCTTCTGAAACTGTTCCAAAAAACAGAAATGGAAGGAAAACTTTCAAACACATTTTATGAGGCCAGCATTACCTTGATCCCAGCACAAAGACCCCATCAAAAAGGAGAATTACAGACCAATGTCCCTGATGAGCATGGATGCAAAAATTCTCATTAAGATACAAGCTAATAAGATCCAATAGTACATTAAAAGAATTATTCACCACATTCAGGTGGGATTTATTCCTGGGCTGTAAGGTTGGCTCAATATCCACAAATCAATCAATGTGATACAATACATTAATAAAAGAAAGGAGAAGAACCATATGATACTCTCAATAGATGCAGAAAAAGCATTTGACAAAGTACAACATCCTTTCTTGATCAAAACTCTTCACAGTGTAGGGATAGAAGGTACATACCCCAATATCATAAAAGCCATCTGTGAAAAACCCACAGAGAATATCATTCTCAGTGGGAAAAACTGAGAGCTTTTCCCCTAAGGTCAGAAACATGGCAGGGATGTCCATTATCACCACTGCTATTCAACATAGTACTAGAAGTCCTAGCCTCAGCAATCAGACAAGAAAAAGAAATTAAAGGCATCCAAATCAGCAAAGAATAAGTCAAACTATCACTCTTTGCAAATGATATGATACTTTATGTGAAAACCCAAAAGACTCCACCCCAAATGTCCTAGAACTTGTACAGGAATTCAGTAAAGTGTCAGGATATAAAATCAATGTACAGAAATCAGTTGCATTTCTATACACCAACAACAAGACAGAAGAAAGAGAAATTAAGGAGTCATTCCCATTTACAATTGCACCCAAAATCATAAGATACCTAGGAATAAACCTAACCAAAAAGGCAAAGAATCTGTACTCAGAAAACTATATAGTAGTCAGGAAAGAAATTGAGGAAGACACAAAGAAATGGAAAAACGTTCCATGCTTATGGATTGGAAGAACAAATATTGTGAAAATGTCTATGCTACCTAAAGCAATCTACATATTTAATGCAATTCCTATCAAAATGCCATCCATTTTTTTCAAAGAAATGGAACAAATAATCCTAAAATTTATATAGAACCAGAAACATGCAGAAAAATGAAACTGGACCATTTCCTTACGCCATACACAATCAGACAACAAAAAGAAATAAAAGGCATCCAAATTGACAAAGAAGTCAAACTCTCACTCTTTGCAGATGATATGATACTTTATGTGGAAAACCCAGAAGACTCAATCCCAAAACTGCTAGAACTCATACAGGAATTCAGTAAAGTGTCAGGATATAAAATCAATGTCCGAAATCGTTGCATTTCTATACACCAACAACAAGACAGAAGAAAGAGAAATTAAGGAGTCAGTCCCATTTACAATTGCACCCAAAACCATAAGGTATCTAGGTATAAATTTAACCAAAGAGACAAAGAATCTATACTCAGAAAACTATAGAATACTCATAAAAGAAATTGAGGAAGACACAAAGAAATGGATAAACGTTCCATGCTCATGGATTAGAAGATGGAATATTGTGAAAATGTCTATGCTACCTAGAACAATTTACACATTCAATGCAATCCCTATTAAAATGCCATCAACTTTTTTCACTGAAATGGAACAAATAATCCTAATATTTGTATGGAACCAAAAAAGACCCCGAATAGCCAGAAAATGTTGGAAAAGAAAACCTAAGCTGGTGGCATCCCAATTGCAGACTGCAAGATCTATTACAAAGCTATATCATCAAGACAGTATGGTACTGGCACAAAAACAGACACACAGATCAATGGAACAAAATAGAGAGCCCACAACTGGACCCTCAACTCTATGGTCAACTAAACTTCGACAAAGCAGGAAAGAACGTCCAATGGAAAAAAGATAGTCTCTTCAATAAATGGTGTTGGGATAATTGGACAGCACATGCAGAAGAATGACATTGGACAATTTTCTTAAACCATACACAAAAATTGGCTCAAAATGGATGAAAGAACTCAACGTGAGACAGGAATCCATCAAAATCCTTGAAGAGAACACAGGCAGCAGCCTCTTTGACCTCAGCTGCAGCAACTTCTTCCTAGAAACATTATCAAAGGCAAGCGAAGCAAGGGCAAAAATAAACTATTGGGACTTCATCAAAATAAAAAGCTTTTGCACAGCAAAGGAAACAGTCAACAAAACCAGAAGACAACTGACAGAATGGGAGAAGATATTTGCAAATGACTTACAGATAAAGGGCTAGTATCTAAAATCTATAAAGAACTTATCAAACTCAACACCCAAAGAGCAAATAACCCAATCAAGAAATGGGCAGAGGACATGAACAGACATTTCTGCAAAGAAGACATCCAGATGGCCAACAGAAACATGAAAAAAATGCTCCACATCACTCGGCATCAGGGAAATACAAATCAAAACCAATATGAGATACCACCTCACACCAGTCAGAATGGCTAAAATTAACAAGTCAGGAAACAATAGATGTTGGCGAGGATGTGGAGAAAGGGGAACCCTCTTACACTATTGGTGGAAATGCAAGCTTGTGTAGCCACTCTGCAAAACAGTATGGAGATTCCTCAAAAAGTTGAAAATAGGGGCGCCTGGATGGCTCAGTGGGTTAAGCCTCTGCCTTCAGCTCAGGTCATGATCTCAGGGTCCTTGGGATCGAGCCTCGCATCGGGCTCTCTGCTCGGCGGTGAGCCTGCTTCCTCCTCTCTCTGCCTGCCTCTCTGCCTACTTGTGATCTCTCTCTCTTTCTGTCAGATGAATAAATAAAATCTTTAAAAAAAAAAAGTTGAAAATAGAGCTACCCTACAACCCAGCAATTGTACTACTGGGTATTTACCCCAAAGACATAAATGTAGTGATCCTAAGGGACACCTGCACCCCAGTATTTATAGTTTATAGCAGCAATGTCCACAATATCAAATCATGGGAAAAGCCATACATATATATATATGTATGTGTATATATATATATATATATGTGTGTGTGTGTGTGTGTGTGTGTATACACATATATATTATGTAGCCACCAAAAATTGAAATCTTGCCATTTGCAATGAGGCAAATGAGGGTATTATGCTAAGTGAAATAAGTCAATCGGAGAAAGATGATTATCATATGATCTCACTGATATGTGGAATTTGAGAAACAAGGCCAAGGATCATGAGGGAAGAGGGGAAAATAATGAAACAGGATGAAACCAGAGAGGTAGACAAATGATAAGAGACTCTTAATCTCAGGAAAAAAACTGAGGGCTGCTGGGGGTTCAGGGGCCAGAAAGGGATGGGGCATCTGGGTGATGGACATTGGGGAGGGTATGTGCTATGGTGAGTGCTGTGAATTGGATAAGACTGAGGATTCACAGACCTGTACCCCTAAAACAAATAATCCATTCTATGTTAATTTTTAAAAATATATAAATGAAAAATTAAAGATTACGTTTATGAACTTCCAATCTCTCATTGCCATCTGAACAAAGATATTCTTTGTGCTAAAAATGTTTGTTATGGTTGTGCCATATTTGAGCACTCACAAATGAAGGTAAAACTAATAGAAGATGAAGAACAATGAAGATTTGTGGAGAGGGAAATTTGCTGAACATAAAGAAACTTAACTTCCTATCCAGGCTTTGTTTTTCACTGACATGTGCTCATATTTTCTCCAGCTTTACCTAGTGAGGTCTCTGGGGAAAAGTGCTAGCTTTTCCTGCAAGGCTTCTGCAGGATTTGTTCTGATCTTAATATTGTACATGACCTTTCTCTTTCTGATCACTTGGATTCATTTTTTTATTCTTACAGGTTTTCCAAAGCAAAAAATAACATCCCCAATCTGTCACATAAGAAAGAGATTTATTACTTTAAACCAGTGATTCTCAAAGTATGGTCCTGGGAACTGTATCGGCATCAGTATCAGCCAGGAACTTGTTAGAAATACAAACTCTCAAGCCCCACCCCCAACCTACTGAGTCAGAAATTCTAGGTTTGGCAATCAGCAATCTGTTTTAACAACCCCTTCAGATGATTCGGATGCATTCTGAAGTTTGAGTATCACTGCCTTAAACGAAAAATAAACTTAAGGCAGGCATACTACATTTGGAAGCCAAGATGGGTTAGCTAAGACAGAAGCACGTTTTCTTCTTGCCATTGTTGCTCAAGGTGAGTGTGGAATAGTAAAGCCAAGAACGGAACATCAAGATGTTGACTTGATTTATGAATGGCACCTTAGTTTCTTTGTCTAAATTTTGGAATTTTTGTTGAATGGTTGCAGCCATCTACTCATAGGTCAGTCTGAGCACGTGATGTCATTATTCCTTTAACCATCGGCTATTAAGGAGGGGTGGTAAAGTCAGCTACTGATGGGACATTAGGAAACAGGGAAACTGTTGCCACCGCAACATTGGTTGATGGCATAAATGACTACAGAGATAAAAGTATCATCCAAGGAACAGAAAAGAGAAGTCAACAAGGAAAATTTATGCTTGTTTTTTGTGGTTGGCTGAGACCTCTCCCCAGTGTCTCATTGAATTGAGAAATTCTAGGGTACAAGAATAGTATAAAAATAGTACAATGACAAGAATAGTAAAGAGGTACCAGCCTAGAAATCCATATTAGAAAATGCCAGAGTGTATGTGTGTCTGTGTACATGCAGACACCCTAAGAATATCAAACAAGCCTTGTTTAATGTTGTATAGTTTAGCCCCATTTCATGCTCAGTTTTTTTTTTCTTTTACTCCATATTTTGTGCTACTTTGTTATGTTTTGTGAACCAATAATAGCAGCTAATATTTATTGAGTGCTGCTTGCGTGCCAGGCTCCATAGTAAGCACTTTACTTACATTTCCTCAATTTATCTCAGCAGCACCCCGAGTTAGACAATGTTAAATCTAACTCAGATATAATGGAGCTATGTTTCCATCCAAAAAGAATATTTGATTTATTTCTACCATGTAAATTAGAAAATACTGATAGTATCTGTCTTAAAAATAACATTGTTATCTTTCTATGTTGTCCTTTGGGCTTGTGCCTGGGCTAAAGAAAAACAAATGCACCTACTTTCTGTGGCCCAATGTGGGGGAGCAGGGAAAAAAGTAGTCCCTAGGCCAGTTGGCTTTATAGCAGGCTGTTCTCCTTTAAGAACTACAATAAAAACACAGCTTCAAGTAGTGTCTACTCACACTATTCCATAGCGAGCTTCCTTGCGTCATCAGCGCCCAGGAGTGACAAACTTGACCACATATTATTATATCTCTTAAAGTGAGGTAGGCGAAAATCTAAACACAAAGAAGAGAAATACACAATCTTGAAAATTAAGTGAATTTGTGTGCAACTCTGCCACTTGCCTTTTTTGTTGTTGTTGTTGTTAACGAAAATAAGGTAATCCATATTGTCCTGGCTGGGATTTAAGTGCTGGAACTTTATCTAAACTACTAGAATTTATCTAACGATGCTTTTGTTATAATGGGATCTTTGCAGCTGATTGTCACAGAAGGATGGGGCAGAAGATAGGCAGATTTATTTTCAGACTGAAAGTGGTTTCTGTTAGCAAATGAGTGATTCCCCTAGATAGTAGCTGCTACATAGAAGGCATTCAATGACTGCTTGCTGAATTTAACTAGATTCTTTTATTAAATGATTTTATTTATTTATTTATTTGACAGAGAGAGAGATCACAAGTCGGCAGAGAGGCAGGCAGAGAGAGGGAGAAGCAGGCTCCCTGCTGAGCAGAGAGCCTGATGCAGGACTTGATCCCAGGACCCTGAGATCATGACCTGAACCAAAGGCAGAGGCTTAGCCCACTGAGCCACCCAGGTGCCCCAACTAGATTCTTGTTTTAAAGTTAACAGATTCCTAGGAAATATCAATGAACCCATCTTGGCTTCTGTTTCTGGAAAAATGATAGACTAGGCAACCTGCAAATCCTCTTGATACAAAACATGAGTAAATGCTAAAACAAAGCTTTCTAAAAAGATTTATTTTTTAATTTAAATTCAATTAGTTTACATATAATATATTATTAGTTTCAGAGGTAGAGTTCAGTGATTCGTTAGTCTTATGTAATACCCACTGCACATTACATCATGTGCCCTCCTTTTTTTTTTTTTAAGATTCTATTTATTTATTTGAGAGAGAGAGCAAGCCAGCTAGAGAGAGACAGCATGAGAGTCAGGGAGGCGCAGAGGGAGAGGGAGAAGCAGACCCCCCCACCAGGAGGCAGGGAGCCCAACTCAGAGCTCAGTCCCAGGGTCCTGGGATCATGACCTGAGCTGAAGGCAGATGCTTAACCAACTGAGCCACCCAGGCACCACTCATGTGCCCTCCTTAATGTCCACCACCCAGTTACTCCATCCCCCCACCTCCATCCCTTCCAGTAACCCTCAGTTTGTTTCCTTTGGTTAAGAGTCTCTTATGGTTTGTCTCCCTCTCCGATTTCATCTTGTTTTATTTTTCCTCCCTTCCCCTATGAGCCTCTGTTTTGTTTCTTAAATTCCACATAAGAGTGAGATCATATAATTGTCTTTCTCTGACTGACTTATTTCACTTAGTGTAATACCCTCTAGTTCCATCCACATTGATGTAAATGGTAAGTATTCATCATTTCTGATGGCTGAATAATATTATTTATATGTGTGTGTGTGTGTACCACACCTTCTTTTTTTTAAGGTTTTATTTATTTGACACAGAGAGAGAGAGAGAGAGAGAGAGAGTACAAGCAGTGGGAGAGGCAGAGGGAGAGGGAGAAGTAGGCTCCCTGTAGAGCAGGGGAAGCCCGATACGGGATTTGATTCCAGGACTCCCAGATCATGACCTGAGCAGTTGCTTAACCAAGTGAGCCACCCAGGTGCCCTGTACCACATCTTCTTTATCTATTCATCTGTCAGTGGGCAGCTGGGCTCTTTCCATATGTTGGCTATTGTAGACATTACTGCCATAAACATTGGGATGTATGTGCCCCTTCGGATCACCACATTTGTATCTTTGGGGTAAATACTAGTAGTGCAATTGCTGGGTATATATGCTAACAATGAGACAGAAGAAAGAGAAACTTAAGGAGTCGATCCCATTTATAATGGCACCAAAAAACACAAGATACCTAGGAATAAATCTAACCAAGGAGGCAAAGGATCTGAACTCAGAAAACTATAGAACTCTCATGAAAGAAATTGAGGAAGACACAAAGAAATGGAAAAAATGTTCCACGCTCATGGATTGGAAGACCAAATATTGTAAAAATGTCTATGCTACTAGAGCAATCTACATATTCAGTGCAATCCCTATCAAAACACCATCAACTTTTTTCACAGAAAATGGAACAAATAATCCTAAAATTTGTATGGAACCAGAAAAGACCCCAAATAGCCAGAGGAATGCTGAAAAAGAAAACCAAAACTGGTGATATCACAATTCCGGACTTCAAGCTCTATTACAAAGCTGTAATCAACCTGGCACAAAAACAGACACACACATCACTGGAACAGATTAGAGAGCCCAGAAATGGACCCACAACTCTATGGTCAACTAATCTTTGACAAAGCAGGAAAGAATGTCCGATGGAAAAAAGACAGTCTCTTCAACAAATGGTGTTGGGGAAATTAGACAGCCACATGCAGAAGAATGACACTGGAATATTTTCTTACACCACACACAAAAATAGACTCAAAATAGATGACAGACCTCAATGTGAGACAGGAATCTATCAAAATCCTAGAGGAGAACACAGACAGAAACCTCTGTGGCCTGGGCTGCAGGAACTTCTTGCTAGACACATTGTCAAACGCAAGGTGAACATAGGCAAAAATGAACTACTGGTACTTCATTAAAACAAAAAGATTTTGCACAGCAAAGGCAACAGTCAACAAAACCAGAAGACAACCGGGATGCTCGGGTGGCTCAGTCAGATGTCCAAGCGTCTGCCTTTGGCTCAGGTCATGATTCCAGGGTCCTGGGATGGAGTCTCACATTGGGCTTCTTGCTCAGTGGGGAGCCTGTTTCTCCCTCTGCCTGCTGTTCCCCCTTCTTGTGCTCTCTCTCTCTTTGTCTCTCTGACAAATAAATTAAATAAAATCTTTTTAAAAAGGAAAAAGACAACCTACAGAATGGGAGAAGATATTTGCAAATGACTTACAGATAAAGGGCTAGTATCCAAAATCTATAAAGAACTTATCAAACTCAACACCCAAAGAACAAATAATCTAATCAATAAATGGGCAGAGGACATGAACAGACTTTACAAAGACATACAAATGGCCAACAGACACGTGAAAAAATGCTCAGTATCTCTTGGCATCAGGGAAATACAAATCAAAACCACAATGAGGTACCACCTCCCACCAGTCAGAATGGCTAAAATTAACCAGTAAGGAAATGACAGGTGTTGCCACGGATGTGGAGAAAGGGGAACCTTCCTACACTGCTGGTGGGAATGCAAGCTGGTGCAGCCACTCTGAAAACAGCATGGAGGTTCCTCAAAAAGTTGAAAATAGAGCTGCCCTATGACCCAGCAACTGCACTACTAGGTATTTACCCAAAAAGATTTTTCTTTAAGAAATTATTTATTTATTTTATTCTTTTTTTTTTTTTTTTTAAAGATTTTTATTTATTTATTTGACAGAGAGATCACAAGTAGACAGAGAGGCAGGCAGAGAGAGAGAGAGAGAGGGAAGCAGGCTCCTTGCTGAGCAGAGAGCCCGATGCGGGACTCGATCCCAGGACCCTGAGATCATGACCTGAGCCGAAGGCAGCGGCTTAACCCACTGAGCCACCCAGGCGCCCCTATTTATTTTATTCTTAAAGATTTTATTTATTCTTCTGACAGAGAGAGTGAGAGCATGCACAAAAGCTGGGGAAGTGACAGGCAAAGGGAGAAGCAGACTTACAGATGAGCAGAGAGGCCAACATAGGACTCGATCCCAGGACCTCAGGATCATGACCTGAGCTGAAGGCAGACACTTAACTGACTGAGCCACCCAGGCACCCCTAAAATTTTTTTTAAATTTCAGCTTTATTGAGCTTAATTGACATATAAAATTCAAGATATTTTTTAAGGATTTTATTTATTTATTTGAGAGAAAAGCAGAGTGCACAAGAGCCAGGGGAGAGAGAAGCAGACTCCCCCACTGAGCAGGGAGCCTGATGTGGGGCTTGATCCCAGAACCCTGGGATCATGACCTGAGCCAAAGGCAGACAGTTAACCAACTGAGCCACCCAAGCACCCCCAAATCCAGGATATTTTAAGTGTACATTGTGATTTGTTATACATATACATAGTGAAAGGATCCACCTTAATTAAGGTTAATTAATGTGTTAATTTACATATCCATCACCTCACGTATTTATCTTTATTATTTTTGGTGAGAACATTTGAGTTCCACTCTCTTAGCCAATTTCAGGTATAGAACACAATGTTATCAACTGTAATTACTGTGTTTACATCAGATCCTCAGATCTTATACATCTCATAGCTGAAAGTGTTACAGGATTTCTTTTCCTATGACGCCCCAGATTCTTGGTCAGGCTACTTCGGAGAAAGAAGAGGTAGAGCAGACTGTGGTGGGCAGCAAAGCAAATTTTTATTGAGCGATAGTGAAGTATATTGAATGATAGAGCTCCCAAAGAAGGAGAGGACGGACCCAAGAGGTGTGCCACCTGAGGTTCTAGTTTAGGGGTTTCTATGGATTTGTTGGTTCACTGTTCTGATTAACCCCCCTGCACCTGTCATCCAATCATGTTTCTGTCAGTGGGGAAGGGTGGAGGGCTCTTCTCAGGGTGGTGTAAAATCCTTTTAGCGGTTACCTTTTAGGGCAGGGGCCTTGTCCCTGCCTGCCTTTCTTCCAACTCTCCTTCATCAAAAGTTTGTACCCTTTTTTCCAACATCTCCCTATTTCCCTACCCCACAGCCCTTGACAACTACTTTTCTACTCTCTAAAACAAACTTTTTTTTTTAAACATACCTGAGTTTTTAAGAAAGTAAGGAAAATACCCAGGCCCACAATCTTTATAAATCCAGACTCATAATAAGGGGTTCATATCATAGTTGTCCTGGCTAAGGAAACAGTGGGGATGGTTGCTGCTTTTCATGACAAATAGATTTCATGACAAAGAGATTTCAGATTTCACTGGCCACACAGGGACAGAAAAAGTTACCAATCTTATACAAAGCTGGAAGTCCTAACTGAGTCAGAGAGAGGAAAAGAAAGAGAAAGGGGGAAATAGAGAGAAATCCAGGATTATTAAATAGAGAAGATTAAAACAACTACTACTACTACCTATTGGT